AATGCAATGTTAGAAATAAGCTTTGATGGACCATAAAATGAATAGCTTCATTAGTTTGAAGATAGAAGATGAAATTTTGGATAAAACCATGTAAATGGGAAATTTTATCAAAGTGTTAAGTCAACAAAAATAGATAAATAAAAATTTAACCAATATTAAATGTTATAGATTTTCTTGGCATCATGTTTCAGATACCTACAAATGCTGATATGTCACACTGGAATGCAACTCATTATGAGTTTTAAGATCTTTGTTATTGTAAATGCTAACTCTCCCATACTTGGGAATATATTCCTTCCTCATCTCTGGGTTTAAGAATCCTTCACTTCTTTCTCAGTTTAAGTATCACCTTACACAGGAAGGGTTTTTACTGACATCTTTAACTGGTAGTACCTTAGTCTTCAATAACACCTTAAATCTATCTTTGATCAATCAACAAACATTTATCAAGTAGTTACTGTGTGCCAGGAAGCTATGCTCAACTCCAGGGTAACAAATACAAACACAAAAGTCCCTGACACCAAGGAGCTTATATTCTAATACGGGAGATGACACGTATGTATAAAAATAATTTACAAGGCACACAAAGCAGAAACAAGACAGGCTGGGCACCCATACCTACATGGGTCAGGAAAGGATTCCTGCAGAAGATAGTGCTTGAGCTGACTCTTTAAGTAAACCAGATGCCAGCTGATAGAGGTTAAGAAGAGAGAAGGATCCTAGCCTGGGGGCAGCTAACATATAGAAATGGAGATGGAAGATGGCGCTTTATCTGTGTGAGCATCAAGCAGCATGGCTGGACTGGGGGTGTTGAGGGAATGTGTAAGAAGACTGGAGAGGTAGGAAGGGCTTTAAATAACAGGAGTCTGTATTTAATCCTTAACAGGAAACTATTAAAGTTGTTGGGGGGAGGGGAAAGGGACATATATTGGTGCTTTAGGAAAATCATTTTGGCATCTGTATAGAGGAGAATGGGGAGAGACATGAGGCAGGGAGACCAAATTTTGTAAATACCTCTATTTTTACATGCAGTCTCCCCCAGTTAAGACTGGAAGCAACTTGAGGGCAAGGACTATTCCACTTCTGTCTTTGTATCCCCCATGCTTAGTGCCTAATGCACAGCAGATGCTTAATAAATGCTTTACCTATGCATTCCTGGTTAAGATTTGAACTATGTTAGCTGAAGGGCTTTAAATTTTTCAGGAAAAAAAGAGAAACTGACTAGACCACTGAGATAAAAGATCATGAGTTATCCATGGTGAAATAGCCATTATGTGGTAGAGACAGGAACTGAACCCAAATCTTCCTAACTCTGGTCAGCTTTCTAGCCACTATACCACACTGCCTCCAGTGAAATGAAAAGTGGGATTTTTAAAATGGCTACTCTTCATAGACAGTGTCTATAATGACAGTTGCCCTTTCCTTCCTATTTTACCAACTGAATGAATTTCTTCAGTGATAATATATAACAGGAAAGAGTGAGAATGAAACACTGACTATCAAGTTAATGACAAACCTCAAGTAAAATAAGTAGTGTCAGGGATGGGGAACATTTTAATATTTTAGTCATTATTCCTTTCTTCATTTCTATATTATCATTTATTTTTATTTAGATTTCAAAAAAAATTCCTCAAATACTTTTATTTGCTCATGTTTTTCTTCACATTAACAACTCCTCAATTCTTTTAATATCTTTTTCACCCATTTGAGAGCTAATCTTGAGATTGTAAGTAGTTTCTTTTTCTTCCTCTGTTGTTTCAAGTACATTAACTTGTTCAGGTACTCTACAATATTATAAAACTTTATCAATATCCTTCTAGGTTTGCTTATTTAAAAATTTCGGGGTTGTTTTAATTTTTTTGGTGTGGTCTTTTAGCTGTTCACTTTGAGTTTCTCTTTTTTTTAATTGGTGTGTGTGTGTGTGTGTGTAAGTATGGGTACCTTTAATCTCCTTCATTCTGGATCAATATTTTTAATGATATTTTAACAGCCTCAGTTTGTAAATGCAATTTATGAAAACAATGTTAAAGTATAGACTGCACTGCAGTATTAGTCATTTCTGAATACAAAGGTTTAAAAAAATGCTTTATTCCTTAACTCTTTACTCTTACTTACCACAGATGACAAATTCAGTTCCAACAATTCTATCAGTCATAAAATGTTACTACTGGAAAGTACTTACATCATCTACTTCAAACCTGTCATTTAGCAAATGAGAGGGGAAAAAAATCAGTACCATCAAAATGTGTCAAAGTTGTCAAATGACAACACTCAAACAAATGAAATATTGGATTGTAGTCAATTCACCAATATGAAAGTTATATGTCCAGATTGGTTAAATAAATAGCTGGAGAAATGATGTTAACACCAAGAAACTAAAAACCCTAAAACATAGCTATATCTATCATTGATTAACAACAGGGCCCATTTATAACCAATTGACTGGCCATAGAATGCACTCAGCATGGAAATACTATGGGTTATGTAATATGCTTCATCTGTTCATTTGTATACATGAAAAAAAGACATTAATGTAATCTTTTAATGTGCAAGTAGAAATTAAAGAATCTATTAGAGCTACAACTACTCTGCCTTCTTAATTGATTCAGGATTAAGACTGATTCTTGAAATGGTCTCATTTATTTCATTTCTCCACTCTTTTTCCCTGAAGAAAAATCAGACATTCACATTTCAAAGGAAACTTAACTCTAAATTTAAGATGTAAGAATACTATCAGACACTCCTATATTGAAAAAAAACAACTCTAGATTACTAGAACTCTAAGATTCCATGACTCTCTATAGCCATTTAATCCAATCTGTACCTATTCAAGAATTCTCAAAAATATTTGATAATTATCATCCAATCATTGCTAGAAGGGACTTCACCAGATTCTAAGGTAGCAATCACAGCCAGAGACTAGAATAACTTTTATACAGCTCTATTAGAAATTTTTTGTTTTTTTTTTTTAACATGGAATCTAAATCATTTTCTAATTTTCACCAACTTCTCCAAGTAGTATAGCCCATGGAGCCAACTAGAAAATGCCCACTCCCTCTTCCACATGATTTTCAAATATTTGAAAACAGAAATTATGCCTCTTATCCATCTTCTCCCAAAATTCCAAGATCTTCTCCAGGCTCAGTATTGAATAATAAACATTCAATAAATATTAACTAAGTGCCGAAAATGTACAAAGCAAGGGCTAACAGGTTGGGATGCCAAGACAAAAATGAAAAACATTTACACTGCTTACATTCTACCAGGAAATCCCAAGTAGTTTAGTCTCACAACAGATCCACATGTGGTACCTTCTCAAGACTCAACACTATTAAATTTTCATATTCTCATCCTTCATAAAATGTAGTATTCAAAAACGAACAACTTAATACACCCTAAGAGCCCATAAGATTTTTTTGGTTGCTAAATCACAGTGTTGGTTTATGCATCTAATCCCACTAAAATTCTAAAACAAATTTTCAAACTACTATCTAAACAAGCTTACTTTGTCATGTATTTGTGAAGTTGATTTTTAAAATGTCTAGCATAAGACTCCATTTGTTTATGCTAAATTTCATCTTATTTGATTCAAGCCTTTCGATCTTCATGATCAGGGGATTTTGACTTTTTTGTTTCACGGACTCCTCTGGCAGTGGGTAAAAAGCCTGTGGTCTCTCTCTTGGAATGTTTTTAAATGAAAAAATACATAGGATTCCAAAGGAAATCAATTCTACTGAAATACAGTTATCAAAATATTTTTTCAAAAGTTAAGACTCCAAATTTTAAGAACCCCTGTTCTAGATCTGTTATCAGTCATTGATCCCTAAAATTCCTGTTTATCATTTTTAATGTGATTGAGTTCTTTGTAAGCTAGGATTAAAAAAGACAAAACAAAAACCTTTTTATGTTTAAAAAAAAAGGAAAAAACCCTACAAACCTAAGATCTGCCTGATTTCCTGTGCTTTCTTATAAGAATTTTTCCAACTATCTCACTGAATCACTTAATTTTAGAGACGGCAAAGGCATAGAGATCAAGTTCTCATTTTATAGCTGAGGAAACTGGGACCCAGAGAAATTAACTCATTTTGAAGGCCCAACGCTAGCAGCAAGGCTAGGAACTCAGTTATCCTACACTCTGTGCTCTTTCCACAAATAAATCACATTAAAAAATCTTATGTAACATAAAACCACTAATATTCTATGCAAAAAAAAAAAAAGCACAACCATGAACTCCTATGACAATGCTGGGCAGTAAAAGCTGATGTGTGGACAAAAGTATTTAACTACTAAAGGCACATAAAGTCAACTCTAAATTCTGTTGACTGCACCATGGCAAAACATGCTAAATCTAAAGTAATCATTGAAATGCAAAACTTAAGAATACACTTACATGGGAAAGTGCTACAATTACTTTCACAAATGTTTCTTCTTGTCTTTACATTTATTCAGCATTTGAGAAGTACTGAACGATTTTCCCTTTTAACTGGTCAGAATTTAAGTGAGTAAAAATATTCAAGATTTATGATATAAATATTGACTTAAAGCAGGTATAGATGTCAATGTCTAAACATATCATTAAAGTACTGTGGAGTATAACATCCTATTTATGTTTATTTTTAAAAGGTGAATGTTAATTTTTAGATTTATGTTTATAGGTTCACTCAGATGTTTCAGTATTCTATTTTTTTTAATGGGGAGAGACAGAATAGAAAAGAATTTTTTCCAAAGAACAACTTAAATACCATGCCTCCAGATCAAAAGCCAATTCCTTCCCATGCTTGTACTTTTAAAAATTGACATTCATACTTGCTTGGTTAAAAATAAAAGAAAAATTGATTACTTGCTTCATATAAGCAATTATTTCCAAAGTATTGTACGATTATAAATTGTTCAATATTAGAACCAAGTCATACTTTAATTATATTAATTGAAGAAACTATCTTCACAGTTTTAATGTCACATTTTGCTCATGAGAACAAAATTTACAGTCATAAGTTGCACATAAAGGGTTTATTTTAAATGTTTTAAGGATAGAGTTACATCATAATTATAAAAATTACTTACAGAATTAAGTAACAGATTTAAAGTGTTTATACTTCTAAATGCAGAGAACAGGGAACTGTCTACATTGTTTAAAATAAAATGAAATTAAAAATGAAACCAAATTCTAAAGATGAAGTCATTTACCTAATTTTAAATGTGAACACGAAGACCTTTGAACTATACACATACCAAGAACAATCCAAATTGCACTACTGATGTAAAGTACAAAAAGCACAGCATTTCCAAGGAACCACAAACTGCTTTAATCGTAATTGTTTTCCCTGAAGTGATTTAAATTATTTTATCTTAGGAGAACCTTCATTTTTAAGGATAATTAGCTTAAGAAGGCTTTGGGGCACTGCCATTTATGACAATGAAAAAGCTAATTTTCTATTATGTCCATCGTTTTATCAAAAAAAAAAAAATCTATTCTCCAGTGCACTTTAGGGTTTGGCACACAAAAGAAAAAAAAAGTAGGTTTTTTTATATGTAACTATGATTTTATATATGTATACATATTTTAACAATGCATGGTCCCTTCAAATGCTGCATGACACATAACTGGAAATCACTTTCCGTTGGCACTATGCTCGCCTCACCAGTGCTTTTTTAATTCTATCAACAACCATTAAAACAGCACAGTAAGCAAATTCACACAAAACTAAAAAGAAAATCAAAAAAAGAAAACGAAAAAACCTAACATTTTAACATGCAACTTTTGTTTGTTACGCTGAACATTCTACTTCTAAGCATGCAAAAAGGATGGTCTGCATTTAAATTTTTTTTGTTTTTTAAAGTTTTACATGGCAGCCTGATATCACACACACAATACAACAATACTACAGCAGGTAAATGAGAAAGGCCAATAAATTTTATACACAGATCCATTGCTTGTGTTGTCACAAGCCCCATGATAATTTTGGAAAGCAATGTTGAACCCCTAGAACAAGGAACCAACATTTTGGTTACCAGAGTAACGCAAGCACTGCATGCAGATCTGAAACATGAGCCTAAAACGAAGCCCAAAGTAGATGGGCAGGGAGTGGGATTAGTTTCAGCCTCAGTAAAGGTGGTTTAAGCTACCAAAGAGGGGAACCCTCCCCCCAAAACCCTAAAAGCAACAAGTGGGACAATTATTTAAAAACAGAACCATAATTTACATAGTATAGCTAGTCATCCTTAGATTGGCAGATTATATGGTATATTAAAGTGGCTTGCAGAAAAACCACAAATACAAGCCATAAGTAATGCTAAAAATGTTTCAGTAGACCCAAACGTCAACAAATATTTCAAAATGAACACTTTATTCTTCAGATGTATAGCCCCAAATTCACTGTATTACATATGTATGCACATATTCTGTGTATATTTAATACACTCATTCATTCTTGTGCCACAAATATCAACTTGGGCTCATGGAGCCAGGCTCAGCTTTGAGATTTACATGCAGGACTCTTAAGAGTCAATAGAAAAACACTTAACAGATCTGCAGGATGAAACACTGTGTTGCAAATCTGCTCACTTTGTTCAAAAACACAAAAAACATTTACGACTTAGGTACTTAGTGCTTAAGGACTGCATTGAGAAGCTATTTACTGAAAAGACAAAATAGCCTGCCTTTGGTTGCCCAAGATGAAATACTGGACAAAATGCAATTGTAGCAATGGGCAAATAATTAAGGTACTGTATTTATATGATGAGTACTTGTTACCATTCAACAGCATAATGAGGCACAAGCCTTAAGGCTAAAATATGAATCAGGCAAAAAATGGATAGAAAGGGGCTTAAACCACTGAGTCTTCAATATCAAGAATACCCACAACAAAGGTCATCTGGACCTCCGAAATTTCGATAGTTGAACATCACCTCTGGCCTTTCACAGACTAAGATTGGATTTCTGGGTATTCCTTCCCCTAAACTGATGATTGGCTTTGTACACCATACTTCTATGAAGCAGTGCTTTTCAATTTGCAAAGCTCTGCCACTATAATGTGAAATGACAATTTTGCTATTGCATTGACCATTTTTACAATTCTGATTACTCTTTAAAGCTCCACATTATAACTACCTTGGTTTTTAAACTATCTTGCAAGATTAAAACTGTGAAAGGATTCTGCTGCTATGGGCTGCTATTATTTACATCCACAATCTAATGCAGATGATTGAACCACTGAAAGACTGCCGATAGCTTTCATTATATAGTAGTACACCACTGGCATGCAGAATTCTAGTGTCCATTGAATGGAATTCACATTAACAGCATACCTTAAGCGAGTACATACAACACCACAAAAGGCTACAACAGATTTAAGCTGTAGGCTATTTGTTAGGACATTCCTTGTGGGGGGAAAAGCCAGAAATAAAAATATTAATAAATGCCTTCTTGGACCATAATTATAACAGTAATAAAAATAATAACAATAATAGTAATAAAAATAAAGGGAATCCCAGAGAACCTATAAAGAAGGCAAAACATGCTTCTCTTTCCCTAAAACCTAAATGTCTAATAAAAAAGAACTGTGTTGTTCAAGGAACTTTTGGAAACAGCAGGTATATTCTTAGCCTTTTAGCACAATCAAATCCAGGCTGCTAATTTTAACATCAAATAATGGGCCAAATATATCATCAAAAATTAAAATGTAGTAGTATTGTGTAGCATTGGGCTTCTGTGGCACCAATTACTGAGGTTTGCTAGAAAGTATTAATGAATAAAAATGCCACTCTTGCCCTCAAATAATGCTTAGAATTAAAGGCAGCCTTTTACCATGTATTGACTGGTTGCTACAACTTATAAACATGGATTAGCAATGTGTGCATTTCATTTCCAACTGTTCATTTGGTTGATTAACATCCTCTTTTATAGCTTCAAGCCTCCAGAATAAAAAGGTGCATAAACAAACACTTGCATATGACCACTGGGTTTCTAAAATGCACACACAGAATATTTCCATGTGCTCTTTGTTTTACAAAAGTTAACTTTAAATAAGAAGTAGAAACACAGTAAATAGTTTGATGCTGCTCAGGTGAGGCATTCCTATTAAACTGGGAGAATCTTTAGGCTTATCTTTTAGCTTTGACTCAAACCTCAGAACAAGGACTGCCAATAGCCAAAAAATTATATTTAATATCACAGAAGGCAATATAAAAAATACCAAACTACACTTGCATGTGAGTACGAGATTTGAAGGGGAAAAATGGTTAAGACCTATTACATTTTTAGGTTATTATGATACTAGCTTAACTTTTTCCACAGCCTGAATTTGTAGCTGTTCTTTCCTTTGACTCCCCCTCTACCAAATAGACTGACTTCTTACAAGGGGAGGAGTTCCTTACACAAAATGTGTCATGTTCACATAAATCTACTATTCCGAACAAAACAGTTTTGCTGGCAGAGATTGTGGGTTCGCAGGGACATTTAAGCTTTCATTAAACTGGAAAGCAGTCAAGTCTTTGTGTCTACAAATTTTACACTTAATAGTTCCACAAATTTGGCAAAGTTCATGATGACATCTAGGATGTTTTCACCAAATCGTAGACATAAATATGGAAATCATCATCAAACTTGATGAAATAGACGGAGGGTTTGGCTTCTACTTGATGAATGACCATGCCAGTCCTTTTGGAGCCATCTTCTTTGGCATATTCCACTTGTTTGCCTACCAGGCTGTCTACAACTTCTCCTGGTTCCCGTTCAGCTGGAGGTGAATCATCTATATTTATAAGGGGGGAAAAGAAAGAGTTAGGCGCCTTTGTAGAAATCAGATATTTCATATATTTTAAAATTTTAAGCAAAATCCCCAAATGTAGCAAAGTACAAAAATACTGATTATACTATTGAAGGGAAATAGTAGAAGTAATTTTTCAAAGTAGAAAACTAAAGAAGACAACTTTAAAACAGAATCTGAGCTGATTAATCAGCTACCATGCTGCTGAGACCAGCAACCAAGTCAAGAAAGACTTCACATTTCATGTCTGGAACTGCCTCCCTGGGAATGACTTCTGATTAGTGGCTGCTACAGTAGCCTAGTACATCTTAAGACAGACTCCAATCATGCTTCACATCATTCCATCTCAACAGTGCCAAAATTGGCATTCATGTCTCCCCTATTTCCTCCACCACCATCCCACCCATAATCAAACAAAACTTTATCGTTGATACTGGAAAGGAGATGTCAATCTACTACCTCAGGGCTCCATCACTGTACCTTTTCAAACTATCTCTGACCATGACTATATCTCCTCCATAAGAATGGAAGCTCTTTGAAGGCAGAGCTGATCTTATCTGTAACCCTAGCAGGAAGCAGTGTTTCATACATAGTAAGAACTTATTAAACTATTTTTCATTTGTTTATTCATTCATATTATTTATTTAGAGCCTGCATTTGGCTGAATGGCTGATAAGGTAACTCTAAAAATGTGGTAGACAAGAGAAACAGTCTTGAACCCAAGAAGAAAATGGTAGAGCTTCCTATAGGCAAAATTATGTTCAAAAAGCAACAACTGTGACAAAAAGTTCATAGTTAGGATCAGAAGGAATGAAAACAATTACATACATATTCTATACCTAATGTGGTATAGATCACCTCCTAAATATCCAGGGTGTATTACTATTAACAAGGTGAGATTTTCACCTCTATGAATAATTAATCTCTACAGGCTATCTACCATTCACTACATGTAGAGATATTTCAATATTTCTGGGTACCAACATCAAGGAATAGAGATTCTCAAAATGCCTAATTCTACGCTATTTGCATTGTAAGTAAAATGAAAATCGCTCTATGAGATTCTATCATTCTGTCAACAATTGCCCACACTCCTCTCAAAACATTAGAAGCTGCTAATCAAACTTTGTAAACAACATACCAAACCATGCAAATAAAATTAGGAGCTCAGTCAAAGAAAGGAATAAGGAGGGAGAAGGAAGACAGTGGATGTAGATCACCTCTTATCCTTCTTACAGGATTAAAAGTATTTGTTTCATTTCCTACTTGTCTGTAAAAAGACAGTTTCTTATAGACTGCGAACATATTTTCACAATGTTCTCAGAATTAAAGAACTTCAGAGTTGGAATAGAACACATTTAGTATAACATATCTAAAAAGAAGCCTTATTATAACCTGTATCTGTAAAAGACAGCCATGTGTTCAATAGTTAATACAATAAAGGTAAAGAACACTGCCATATATGGGAGAAGACAAATTATATGCTGATAAACTAGTCAAAACAATTGTCATGTTTCATCTACAAGATCCATCTGGAACTTTCTCGGAAATATCATACTCACAAACACAATAAAACCATTCAATGATTTATTCAACCACAATTCATCATGTACCAGAAAGAAGTTTGCATTCATTCAATTTTACAGATGAGAGCCTGAAATGTGAAGTTTTATGGCCAAGATGATACAGCTACTTAGGAACCAAGTAAGGACTAGAACCTAGATGTAGGAGTCCCCAGCTGGCTGCCCTTTTCACTAAACCAATGCTGCCATATACTTCCAAAGCAACAATCTAAAGTATGTCTTGTTTAAAATATATATCTCATACACACACACACACACACGTACACAATTATGTATCCAAAATAACTTTTTGAATTTTATTATAAATACACTTTAGTTTACTGGTTTTGCCAATTCAGGAAAATTGTGTTTTGCCATAAGTGAATATATATGGATTTTTTTCCTTATAAGAAATTTTGTTTAATTCATGAACATATTTATGTTAGACATCTAGGATACAAAGACAAAAATGAGATGTTCCTTGTCTTCAAGAAGTTTATATTCCATTGGAAAAGACAACGTGCACAAAAGTATATAAAAAAACATAACGGCAGCTAGGTGGCACAGTGGATAGAGTGGATTCAGGCGGACCCAAGTTCAAATCCAATCTCAGACACATAACATTTACTAGCTGTGTGACCCTGGGCAAGTCACTTAACCCCATTGCCTAGCCAAAAAAAAGTATATAAAAAACAAATACAAAGTAATTTAGAGTGGGAAAGACTGGAGGGAATCAAGAAAGGCTTCTTGTAGGAGTTGGTATGTGATCTGGACTTTGAAATACAAAATCCTCTGCTTGTCATTCAAAAGTTCTTTTTAACTTCAAAGAACAAATCCCCTTAATAGGATTTATTCTGTAAAACTTGGACTCAGTCAAAAGGGCACACCCAAGGGCCTCAAAGGCCACATGTGGCCTCAAGGCCACAGGTTCCCCCGGCCCCTACCCGGCTAGCCTCTTCCTACCTTTCCATTCTTCTTACACCATACTCCCTGCCACTTAATCTTCAATTCAGTGACACTGGCCTCCTTGCTCTTCCTTGAAAAAGGCACTCCATCTCCTGGCTCCAGGTATGTTCTCCAGCTGTCTCCTGTGCCTGGAATACTGTCCTTCTTCATCTCTGCCTACTGGCTTTCCTGGCTTCCTTTAAGTCCCAACTAAAATCCCAACCTCTATAGGAAGCCTTTCCCATTCCTTCCTAATCCTACTGCCTTCACTCTGCTATTTCCTCTTAATCTTTTATATGGCTTTATATAGTTTGTATATATTTGTTTATTGTCCCACCCCCATTAGATTGCGAGCTTCCTGTGTGCAGGGGATGTCTTTTGCCTGTTTTTGTATCCTCATTGCTTATCACAATACCTGGCACATTGGCGTTTAATAAATGTTTACTGACAGATTGAAGGAAAACTAGAGACTTGAGGAGGGAGTACATTCCAAGCACAGATGATAGCACTGAAGGGCAACAGGAGATGAAGAATCTGAAGAGCAAGAAGGCAGTTTGGCTGGACAACAGAATGCATGAAGGAGTAATGCATATAATAGGCTGGAAACAAAGGCTGAAGCCAGGTTTTGAAGGGTTTTACACTCCAGTCTGAGGAATTTATATTGGATACTAAAAGCAGTAAAGAATCTCTGTAGTTTATTGAACAGGGAAGTAATACCGTTACATAGTGCATTAGGAAAATAACTTCATCAGCTATATGAAGAATGGACAGCAGTTGGGGGGATTGGAGATGAGGTATTTAGGACTATTAAAATAATTCTGGCTAGAGGTAACGAGGGTCAGACCTGAAGTGATGACTATGTGGGTGGAGAATTTGGGACAAATGCTATAAAGACATAATTAATCCATAAGAGGCAACTATGTGGGGTGTGGGAGAATAAAGAAGTAAGGATGACACTGAGGTGGTGGAACCTGGCAACACAGTATGTGACAGAAATGGCAAATATAGAAGAGTAATGAGTTTTGGGAGAAATAAAATTAGTTTCTGTTTCAGACATTTTGAACTTAGAAATATCCAACAATGCTGAAGCAGGATTAGAACACAGGAAAGAAACTAGGGCTGGATATCTGGGAGTCATCAGCAAATACACAATTAATGAACACAGGAAGTCTGTGAAGTTAACAAAAGAGAATGCAGCAAGAAGAGAAGGTCCAGGACTGAGCCTTGGAATATACCAAAGGATTATGATACAGTTGATGATCTGACAAAGAAGATTCAAAAGGATTGGCCAGGCAGGAAGAAAACAGTAGGGGGAAAAAAAAGAGCAGAAGAAAAAGTATACAAAAGAAGGCAAGCAGTCAACAGTGGCAAATGCTAAAAATGAGTATTTCAAAAAAGTAATCAGATTTTGATCATTGGTAACTTTGGAGAGGGTAGGTTCAATTGAGCGATGAGGTCAGAAGCCAGATTTAAAGGGTTAAAAAGTAAATGAGAGACGAAATGGAGGCAATAATTATATACTGTTTTGTTTTCTAGGATTTTGGATAAGAAAGGGAATAAAGACATAGAATAATAAAATCTAGAAGGGAGGGTAGGGTCAAGAGGGAGTTTTTTAGGTAGAGGTTTTGAGTATGGGAGAATAGGGAGATCATGGTGAATAGCTTTTTTTTTTTTTTTTAAAGTAATGAATGAGTGAAATTTATCTAATGATTGCAATGGGGAAGGAAATGATGTGGGAGACAAAAAGACCAAGTTTGAAACAGCCTCTTCAGGTATGCAAAAATAAGTCAATCAATCAGGGAGCAAAAGGATTGCCTTGCTTAAGTGAAGGATCCAGTGATCATGGTTTCATGACTCTCTAAAGCATCATTCAACAGCATGTACGAACCAAGGAGACTGATGACGAAAGAAATTCAGGATTTGAAAACGCATGACAAGGAGAAAGGGGGCAAGCAATTCAATAGAGAACAGTATAAAATGATCTGGCTAACTATAGCATCAATACTGGACAGAGATGAAGAGCCAAGTGAAGCCACAATAAAGGGGATGACAGGAGTGATAGCCCAGGTGAGTAGTGAGGGGGTGGAGAGATTAGGGACATAGTGAGAACAAGGAATAAGTTTAGGAGGAATGATCACAGACAATTACGGAGGAAGAAAGAGCTGGTGGCCAAGAGCTATCTGCCACTAGAATCTGAATTAGGTGATATATCTTGATAGAGGGAAAAAAAAAGGAGGAAAAAATTGGCGAGTGAATGCAGCTGAGAGAAGGTTGGAAAGTTTTAATGTGAAAAAGGAGCACGCTGATTCCGCCAATTGCCTTTACAACTAGTATGTTTTTTGAAAGAGGGCACAAATTGTACTGGAAAAAATGGACATGGATACAGTTAGACAAGTCAGAAGCTTGAAAACATTTTGGTGAAATGAGTGGTACTGTTAAATCAATTATTTATGCAAAGGGTATTTAGCATGACAGGATCAGCATCAATCTAGTTGCTATAATGCTGCGCTTGAAGTAAGGAGACTTAGGTTCCAACCCTGCTTCTGATATTTACCAGATGTGTGACTGCTGGGAAGCAACAACCTCATCCTCAGTTTCCTCATCTAAAAATGAGAATCAGCAACAGCTTAAGTAACTATCTCAGGTTTGCTGAGACTCAAATAAGAATGGTGAAAGCACTCTACAAAACACTTTAAAACCTTGTCAATTACTGTTGTCATGACATACAATCTAGGTTATTATTAGAAACTAGACCACTCCTGATTCTTATCATCATTAAGTTCAGTCTCAGCGTCAAAGTTCAGAATAGTGATTTAATATATCACTGGACCTTAAAATAAGAGACTCAACATATTGGAAATGATATATTATCACAGAATCATAAGAGAGCTAGAAGGCTGGACATCATTTAGTCAAATAACTTCATAAAACAGATCAGCAAAAGGAAAGTGATTTGCTCAAGGTCATACAGCTGGTAAGACAAAAGTGCTAGGATTTAAACTCAGGTGCTCTGACTTCAAATCCAGCATTCTTTATGTTAAGTCATGTGGCCCCCACTTTTATCAAATTCCTAACAACTTCATTTTTCTTGCCTTGTGCATACCCTTTGACCCAGCAATAGCACTTCCAGGGCTATATCCCAGAGATCATAAAAATGGGAAAAGGACCCACATGTACAAAAATATTTATAGCAGCCCATTTTGTGGTGGCAAAGAGTTGGAAATTGAGAGGATGTCCATCAACTAGGGAATGGCTGAACAAGTTGTGGTATATGAACGTAATGGAATACTATTGTGCTATAAGAAATGATGAGCAAGAGGTCTTCAGAAAAACCTGGAGAAGGCTTGTATGGACTGATGCTGAGTGAAGTGAGCAGAACCAGGAGAACTCTGTACACAGTACCAGGCATGTTGTGTGATGACTAAAATCAACAGACTTAGCCCTTCTCAGCAATGCAAGGATCTAAGACATCTCCAAAGGTCTCATGATGGAAAATGCTATCCATATCCAAAGAAGGACTATGGAGTTTGAATGCAGATTGAAGCATACTATTTGCTATTTTTTTCCTTCTGTTGGGTTTTCTCTTTCTTGTGGTTCCTCCTATTATTTCTTAATTCTTCCTTACAACACCACTAATGTGAAAATATGTTTAATAGGAATGTGTATTTATAGCCTATATCAGATTGCACGCCATCTTGGGGAGGGAGGAGGAGAGGAAAATTTAAAACTCAAAAGTTTATGGAAGCGATTGTTGATAAATCAAAATAAATTAATAAAAAAAGAAATTGATTCAGGCTATTCACCGGAAGGTCAGATACAGAAAGTGAAGCTGAAGAAAAAAAAAGAGAAATCAAAGAGAAAAAAGTCCTATGTATACAAAAGTATTTATAACAGCTTTTTTTGTGGTGGCAAATTGCTGGAAACCTTATAAGGGGGTACCCATCAATTGGGGTATAGCTGCACAAATTATGATATAAATGTAATGAAATATAAATGTGATATGTAAGAAATGAAGGCATAATTGCAGAGAAACCTGGGAAGAATTATGAGCTGATATTACAATATCAACATTGCAAAAATGACTTAAGAACTCTGATCAATGCAATGATCAACTATGATTTCAAAGGACCAATGTTGAAAAATACTACCTACCTCATGAGAGAGTGGTGATGGATTAATATGCAAAGTAAAGCATGTATTTTTGGACATGAACATGTAGGAATTTGTTTTTGTCGACTATGATTATTTGTTACAATGGTTTTGTTTTTCTTCGTTTTTCCCCAGTGAGGAAAGCAAGAGATAGGAGGGAAAAAAATTAAATGTAAAAAATTCTTAAATTACATCAAAGTGGGAACCAATGGCAGAATTTTGTAGTATCTCACTAAATACTGATTTTGCTGCCAAACTAGTAATGAAAGCTTTGAATAAACAGTTCTGGAAATGATTGTTGCCTAACCTGAAACACTGGTTCAAGCAAGAATCTACAGGTTTGAAGATGAAGATGATGGTTTGGAAAGCATAGAGATATCAGGGACTATGGTTGTGGTCTGTTAAGAAGTGGACTTATTTTTTCCATAGGATCACAGATCTGGAACTGGAATCTCAGAGGACATCTAGTCCAATCCTCATCTTAGAGATGAAAAAACTGAGGCCCAAGGAGGATAAATGACTTACGGTCACACAGGTATTAAGCAAAAGAAACAGTATATACGAGACAAAAATTAGAGGTAGATTTTCTGACTAACTGCCTGTGGACACAAAAGAACAAAAATGTATATTAAAAAGAGGGAATACTCTTAAGTTTAATCAGATGCCAAAAGAGAGATATAGCTAAAAAAAAAAAAAAAAAGAAAGCTGAAATGTTACTTTAAAACATTAGCTCTTACTTTACTTCAGAAATCTGGTAAAGTTTAAATGCAGAATTACAGTTCATTTTCAGTAGCTATGACATTGTTAGGCTATTAATTTATCATCAGCTGTGCTGGTTGGCAGAATCTTTTATTTAATGCCTTTAACTATTAATCTGTGCTCCACTGCTGTCTCAGAGTATTTGAAAAGAAAACAATCCTTTCCCCTGCTCCCCCAAACAAATCCTCAGGGATCCAGCCTTGAAATGAGATTCTGATATCTAATTATGAAAAAACGAAGGGTGACTTACAAGAAAGGTTAACTATGAATGAAATCATATCATACTTGAGACCCCTGTGACCCCAGGCTCAAAGGATGACCCCTAATTTTAATGGTGCCTTGAATAGTGAGATGACAAGATTTCCTACAATCAATCTTTTCTTGCTATGACATTCACATGATCTGCAGATTTTTTTGTGTCCCCAAAACCAGATAGATCCAAAAGCCCTGGCTATCAAAGTATTTATTATTAAACTAGGAGAATAATTCATATAAAAATTAGGAAATGTGTTAGCTAAATGCAAATAAAAATCAAGTTTCAAACTTATTAAATTGCCCACTCCCTTTAATGCAGAGATCTCACTCCTGGATTATACCCAAAGAAGATAAATACTCATAGTAGCATATTTGTGATTTTTAAAAAAGTCAGAAACAAAATAAGTGCCTGACTATAGGGAAGTGACTGAACAAATAAACAGAAATGTATAGAAATGTAACAGATTATTGAAGTAATGGGTTAAGAAGAAAGTAAAGCAGAAAGAATAATATGCACAACATAATAAAAAAAGACAATGCTAAAAGGCAATAAAACTCAAGTACAAAGTCAAATACAACAGAAATTGTTGGTATTATGCTATCAAAGTTAAAGCATAGTCCTTTTCGTTAATAACTGTTAAATTACAAAAGTCAAAAGTGACATGTATAATAGCAACAATCATGTTAATAAGTTTAAGTTTGTTTAAATGTTTTTTCACAATGTACTTAACTTTTTTTTTACAGGAGGGGTTTGAAAGTCTTTATCTTTTCAAAACAAAACATATCTGATACCCAAACTGATTTATTTTTTAATAATTTCTTCTTTTTTCTTAGCCTATCAAGAAAAATAAACAACCCCTTCTCCCCCACAAGATACTTACTAGAATCTGGCATGATACGGAGGTCACCTTCTTTATAATCATCTAAAAGCTGGTACATGTACAAGACAGGATCTTTCTCATAGGTAATATAAAACCACGTGTTCATTATAGGAGCTCTAGCTAAGACCATTCCCCTCCATTCGTCCTTTGAGCCATCCTCTGTCTCAAACATATGTTCCACTGCTTTTCCAATCATTGTATCTGCCAAATGAGCATCACTGATTCGAGAAGATGCTGAAAAATATAAATATTTTATAATATATGTTTAATGAATACTTTTTGAGTCTGTCCTATTAAGAGTCTACCTGAAGCTGTAATGTCTTCTCTATTCAGTTCTGAATTTCAAACATTCTTTCAGCCACAGATTCAACTGTTTTTAAAACAGCACTTAGTTTAAAATACTACTTCAAATACTTCTAAATTTTGTTGTGTTATAGGGGAAAAATGTAAATTACTTGATAAATTAAATTAAATTCAAAATTACTTGGCAAATTAACTGCTTTCAGTGCTGTTAGAACAATTCAAACAGGGAATTTTAAGGATTTTTTAAGTTCACATGTTACCAAAAATTAATCTAATTCTACTTTCCCAGTGGCTTGAAATGCTAGATCCTAGAATGCCTAACTTCCTTTTTTCTTGTCTTGACATTAATTTTAATATAGGACCTAAGGAAAATACATTTCCTTCTCTTCCCTTTCTCTTCCCCAAATTATAATGTATTCCAAAGATTAATGTAAGCAACATGCAACAATATATAACCTACATGACTACTCTTTCATTGACTGCAAAGAACTGACAATTCGTTGTACTTTTTGAATTACAGACAATATAAGTGCTACGATTTTCAAACAATGATCAAAGAATTAAGACAGTATATTTTAATCTGTATAAGACAGATTTATCTTCTTTGTGTTTATGTGACTATAAAATAATAAGACTCATATAAAGCTTTGAGAAGCAAAAGAAAGAGTAATCACAGCAGGCATCATCTGTACCACAGATCTTATATTGCGACAGTATTTTCAGTCAGTCTTGCGCTAGCAGCCTGGGTGAAGAGAAATACATAATCTTTCCTGTCAGTGAAAATAGTCACTATTATCTAAAGCGAAGAATGTCACATTTGTTATAAAGTTAGAAAAATCAAGTTAAAAATAGAGTAAATTAAGATTATGAAAACAAGGTAAGGTCAACTCTTGACATGTAAGATAGTCTGTAATAATATACAAATTACATTTCTGATAAAGTAGTTAAGGAACATGGAATTTCCAAGATGTTTTGAAAAATCTCCTCAAAGTCTTCAGCAGTAGTCTTAGTAGTAATAATTCAAATTTATCAAATTCTTTAAGCACTTTACCACCCAGTAAGGTAGAGAAGTGGGTGTAACTGCCAAAGAAAAAAAGCTATTAAGTCTATGTTCAGGAGAGGTTACATATCAAAAGAAAGAAGCAAATGAGGTTTATACTGAAATTCTGCCTGTTTAATACCTGCACAATGTCAAAGGAGTTACTTTAGACAATGCGCTGACTTTCTGGAAGTAATTTAATTAAAAATGCTATTACCCATCTTTCTTATTCAGCAGACTTACAACTGAATGACTTTATTTCTAATCCAACTCAGTAATAGAGATTTATTACCCCTGAAAGTTCAAAAGAATACAACATAGCTACCACAGAACAAGAGACTTATGCTAAAAATGAAACAATACTCACTTTTAGGTGTACATTGTATTCTTTAACAAATCAGTCATTCATTACTTTACAGATTTTATACATTTACAAATTCTATTGATGTAGGAAGGCTTTTTTGAAAAGTCATAATAAAATATTTTTTCTCTATTAGGTTATTGCAAAAGGGCTTTCATTTTATACAAACATACTATGAACACCTTAAGTCTAATTTTCTAAATACCTTTACTGTCAATTATCAATTATCTTTAAGGGAAAACCTATTAAATAAAACATCAAAAGACTCAGTTCTCAAAAATACCAAAATAAATAGTAAAGACATTGTCTTTAGATGCTGACTATTCTCTAACACAGAGACCAACATTAAATGAGTGGATGACAGAATCATCCATTAGATTAGATCAACTAAGTTTCAAATGATTCATCAAAATCTAAAGACTCTTGGAAATTTTTCAAAACTAAATATTACTTTAATCTGGAGTAAAACTGTTCTTTTCTAGCCTCAAATCCAGTAAGAAAGCAAGCTCTTTTGTGTGTTAAGATTGTTTTTCAGTTGTTCACTGCAGCTCTAAAATATTTTATGTCTTATAGTACTTAATAAATTCCTGAAGTCTTTATTTATTTGTTTGATTCATTCAATAAATACTCCTTTACTACTGAATTGGCCATTTTTTAAACGACCTGAAGATTCTAATTAAATTGCTCAGAGCATTAAACTAATAAAGACTACAGGAAAATAGAAAGGAAGCTAAAACCATGGGACTTGCCCTTTGCTCAGAACAGGAGTGCTTAATTTTTTAAAGAGTTCAAGGAGTAAGAATGCATAAGTACGGTTGGAGGTATATTCCTCAAATTATTTACCTAAACGTCCACTTTCAAAGTACACCACACACACCCACACACCAAAATAACTTACCAACTCTGTCAGGAAGGACTTCAAGTGCTGAAACTCGTTCATCTTTGTGAAGTTCTAGTCCATAAACACAGTCAAATCCATCATATTTTATAAGATAGAGAGAAGGATTTACAGGAACCTGATCCAGAACTGTCCCTTTCCACTGAGTTACAGGTCCACTCCCTTCCTTCCATCCATGTTGAATTCTACATCCTACAATGTTTCTCCGGGGCTGAGAAATAGGTTTGCTGGGTCCCACGTTGCTTCGATGTTTTCTGTATACATATACATACACATATATACACATAATATACCACTTCAGGAATAAGCATTTTTTACACAGCAAAGTTTTTATTACATACCCCCTCTAGGCAGTGACATACATAGTCTACACAGCTAAATTTTGCCAATTTAATTTATTCACGTAGCATGAAAAATTTTAACGTGTTACACCACAAATCAAAACAACTAATACCTTATCTTTAAGGCTTTTATAGTTGCTAGCTTAGCTTCAACAGGGTTGAGGAGGTACTCAAACATTCCGACTTAAAGAAACTACTCATTTCTGAGAATCTGTTCAGTTGTTTCAGTCATATTTAACTCTCTGTGTCCCCCACTTGGAATTTTCTTGGCAAAGACACTGGAGTGGTTTGTCATTTCCTTCCCCAGTTCATTTTACAGATGAGGAAACTGAGGTAAACAGGGTTAAGTTACTTGCCCTGGGTTACGCAGCTAGTATGTTTCTGAGGTCAAATTTAAATTCAAGTCTACCTGACTCCAGGCCCTGTACTCTTATCCACTGAGCCACACCTAGTTACCCCTTTTTTCAGAGTATTCTGCAGAACTGGTAACAATGCAAGGTAGTTTACTGTATTCAATTTTATACATATATGTGTATGTGTACACATATCTACACCCACGCCCATGAAGAGAGGGAGAGAGGGGACGCAGGGCAACTTAGCAGTGGATAGAGCACTGGATAAGGAGTCAGAAACACGAGTTCCCAGACAACGTGACTATGTGACCCTGAGCAAGGCACTTAATTTCTCTCAGTCTTGGTTTTCTCATCTATAAAAAGGGGGGTAATAACAACACTTACCTTACATGGTTGTTGCAAGGATCAAATGAGATAATATATGTAAAGAACTTTGCAAACCTTACATCAAGCTCCAAATTACATTAAAATGTAGAAGTTCTTAAGAAGAGAAAAGTAATAAAACCCAAACAAAACTGAAAGAATCTTGAGATTGCCTATATTTTCATCGCATAACGTTATCACCTCCCTAAAACATCTATACAAAGTACTCCTCAGGTTCCTCTGTTTGGTGCACAGGATTAAGATTGGATCAAGAAGGGAGATGGAGTAAAGACAGCATGAGGGGAAGTTGGAACGGGGGTGGGGGGGGAGAGAAGAGCACTGAGTTTTATTATGAAAGCAGAAAAGGGTAGCTGACAAAGCAACAAAGAACTGGAAAGAAATATGAAGGTATTTGTATTTTCTCAGGAGTCACTTATAATAGTAATATTTATAATGCTTGAAGATTTGCAAAACATTATCCATAAATTATCTGATCTGAGTAATAACAACCCCATGAGGCAGATAATGCAAGCATTATTATTCCTATTTTATAGTTGATATAAAAAGCTCAGAGGGTAACAAGGCCTACCCATAGCCAAAGATATGAAGTGCCAAAGTTGAGATCTAAGTCCAGGTTTTGTTGACTCCAAGCTTTACTGACACTTCACATGAGAATATAAGACCAGTTACATACTACATCAGCACCAGACATTTAATATGAAAAATCTAAACAGCTATACATATGTGTATTCATACATACACAACTCCTAGAGGGAAAAATCAACTAAAATGTTAGAAAACCATGCACAGTCTAAGGCAAAGTCTAGTAGCTTCTAATATCCCCACAAACCTAAGAATCTTAACAGTGGTTGTCTAGTCCAGGCTTCAGTTTCAAGCTTCAAATATAACTTTGCGTCTAACAGAGCAGGAAAACTTTCTTCTCCCCATTTTTACATGACTAAAGCTCCTCTCTGGAGGTGCTGCTTCTCTGAATAAAAGATAACTGAGCATAAAAAATGCAGTAATGAACTGTGTAAATTTTACATAAATTGTTTCACTATGAAGTAACATTTAAAACTCAGAAAGTATTGAGATAAAAAGTACTGACTATCTCTGTATAGCATTACTTTTCCTCAGGCCTACTGTAAGGTAAACACTGGGTTTTTTTTCCTAATATCAATAAATGCTAGCAAAACCAGAAAACTAAGCAGCATGTCTTAAAGAATCCTTAAATGATAAGTAATACTGTTAAAACCCAATGAGCCTTAGATGAAAACTAAGTTTTATGTGATGCTGATTAAAAGTCTACCAACTGAAATAGATGAAATAGTGAATAGTGAAATAGTTATTACAGCTCAACAATTTGGCTACTATGGAAGTTTAGATAAATAGTTCAAGACTATTCATTCAATTCTTGTGACACATTCTAAGGTTTTATTAACATAGGTAAGGAAAATCCTTAGGACAAATGGCTATTAAATTAACTCCATTACCTCCTTTGAAATGATTCTTGGAATATTCAAAAGCATTTAACTTTGTTATTACTAAACTTGGCAGAAGTAAAATACAATCTGAAACTCTTGAACCACAGTGAATTTGCTATTGTTCACCAGGAACCACTACTTTGTAAGATCAGTCTGTCTTTAAAGATTCAATATGATTCCCAAAACCAGTGTGAAAAGGAAACACTTTACAAATCAGACAGTTCTTTTAGCTTATGGAGGTGGCTCAAATCAACTGCTGCCAAAACTATATAGAAGAACATAGGAATCAATTAACTGTCAGCTCACCTAATGTGGAAGGTGCTCATATTTAAAAAAAAGATCAAATTAAAAGGAGTATATTATTTATAAATATAATTTTGAACAAAATACAAAATTTCTGAAAAAATTTTTTTTTGCAAATTATTTCAGAGTGTTCCTTGCTTCATCGTCTTGGGTACTAAAACAAATAAACATTTGCTAAAATCAACTTAGGAAGCTTACAATGGAAAACAAATTTTTATCACAATAGTACATTTTCCAAAGTAAAAATGTATAATACTAGTCCCAGTATCCTGAGAGAGAACAATCTGCTTCACTGTCAAAGAGCTGGTAAAACTGATATAGTCTTTTTTAAAAGTTACAGAATTTGTATAAGTATACTAGTATATGTCAAAGGTACTGTTGTTTCATTTACATTTAATTGTTTTAATTAGATCCAATGTGATGTTTACTGTTCACTGCATCTCAGCAATTATTAGCATCACTTCAATTTGTGAGCTTAAGAAACTTTGTAATATATATTTAAAACACTGTATTTTTTAAAATTAAAGTATAGTTTAGGAAAATAAAAGAATCAATTTGGCTCTTTGAGTGACTTAAGGAAATAAACAGTTATGGGGAATTGGGAGTGCCACCACAAATTTCTGAATATGAGCTAACTAGAAACAGGGGACCCTGAGGGAAAATTAGATTAAAATACAGTCATTAGTAACTTTAAATCAAAATTAGCAAATTGTAAATCAATTTTGTTTTGCACCTGGGACATTATGCCCATTTTACATATAAAAAAGATTGATTTTGGTATAATACATGATTTAATCAATCTTCTTTGTGTGTAATGTGGTGATAATAATACCACCTACCTCCTGGGGTAGCTGGAGGAATTAAATGATTCCTAAGGGCTTAGTATAGTGAGCAGTGTAAAAATGCTGACTATGGGGTTTGGATTAAATAACATATCAAAAATAATAACATGAGTAATTTTATGAGAAGGAAAAATTAAAATTTTATCTAGCTGAAAAGATGAAATTTGACTTGAGAAGTTTGATGTTATATTTTTTAAAAAACAAACATAATATTCTTTAGATTTCTAGTTTTTCTTGTATTCTGGAATTCTGAAGAATATTAGACATGATTAGAAATGTGAGTTCTCTTTTAATTAAGAGAATATGCCTTTGAAATTTTTCTAAAATACTGTAAAGTGCTGTTAGAGAAGCCACTTCCCTATTTTGAGTTATGAAAATGAATATGATAAAAATCTGTGAAAAAACTGTAATGATGACGTACCTTTTGCCTTAAATTCTTATGATTTCATAAGAGGTTTGAGGACCTCCCAACCAGAGTTGTGTTTTAAATTTGTAAATGCCTGGGTAAAGTTACTTTGAAATGGACTAAATTGATGTCCTTTGGCTAAAGTAATTTTATTATCTTATAAATTGGACTGCTAAAAAGGATTGTTTAAAAAACTATTAACTATTCAATGGGTTATATTTTCCTCTAAACTAGCCTCCTAAAGGGAAAGACTGCCATGAAATGTAAGTCAGCAAGTAGCTCAAGTAATAACTGAGAAATGAAAAGCTAAACAGTCTAAAGTACTACAGAAAGCAGGCCTCTGAAATTCTTTAAAGTAATCTTTAAGAACTAGAAAAAAGCCTGGCATGTGGTAAACACTATATAAACGAATCATTGTTGCCTCTATAATTGACTGTAATTATTCTACACTGGATAAATTCTACACTGGGTTTTAGATATCACTGGATGTGATTAATACCAAAGGAGACATGACGAATGATTTCCCTGTAACAATTTTAAGATACATTCTATTAAACTGTTTTTCTTTTGCATTATAAAATCTAAGAAAAGCTGTTAGGGCAGGTTACTTCCCCTTTTGATCTGAAGGCTGTTAGATCATAAATGTATGTTATAGAATGTGAAAAAATGTTTGAAAACTTAATATTTAATGACATATATTTTAAGTTAAAATAAAAATGATAAATGACTTACATTTGAGAGAAAAGCATGGCAAAATCTTCTTAAATAGATCTTTGTCTGTGAAGTTCCTTAAGACTTCCTACTTGAGCTAAATCAGAAGATCTTACCCAGCCCTGCTCAGTGTGTTGTCAAATACTGAAGGGCTGTAGTTTAAGGAAATATGATCTCTCCCAGCCAAAGTAGGGAAATTTCTGAGATAAACTTTAAATAATAAGTGAGCTTCACTTGAGATCATTTAGAAAATCACATAATTATATCTGTTAATAATTAGTATGTGGTAAAGTTACATTTTTGAACCAACTATTCACTGCGTATACAGTGTTCACTGTATTAATGTTAAAACTCCAGAATGTAGTATTTGTGCTGTTTATCCAATTTATATTATTATATACAATATATATTAACATTTAACTTTATATATATATATATATATGTATATGTATGTGTGTGTGCATATGCATATGTATATGTATATATGTATGTGTGTGTATCCAAGTAGCTTGCTTCTCTATCATTTCCTGTGGTAGTTGCCCTTAACATCTGCACATTGATTTTTATAAGTATGCCTAAGACTGGTCACTATAAAGTCTCCCTTCAACTTACTCACAGGGCTAAAGCTTTTTCTAAAACTTGTAACTCCAATTGGCAAATTGTATTCTGAAAGCTCACCTAAAGTGGCCAGGTGTACTTTCCCTTCCTTTATCCTATCTACAGAGCAGATCAAGGGTGGAGTTGCATATCTAAATACTAAAGCCTATCACATATTTACTTAGGTATACTTTAGAACATTATGTGCATACGGTGAATTTTGCCTCCAACAACTATAATGAACACATGAAAATTTCTGTCAGTGAACACTGTATAAATTTGAACCAATGCTGTTAATGCTATTGTCACACAAACACAATAATTATATCCTGCCCTAACATATGATTAATGAAATTTTGATATCAAAGGCAGTCTTGTACATGGGACGTTAATTTGATATACTTCAGAGTTTTTGATTTTAGGCATACTCATAAGATTGTAAAGCCAATTATCCACCATTCCAGGGGCTGCCATGTCTTATGGTCTGAAGACTGCTACAGGTGGATATTTGTCTTTGGGAAAAAGTTGAGAGGGAGACCTTACGAAGGTAAAGGTAGGATTCTCTTGACTTGGTTTCCCATTGAACTACTTCGTTTTTCAACAGGAAATTTTCCCTCCCAGATAATTCTGAACCTGGCTTTTGATATCCTGTGAACAAAGTGGAGCTTTAATTAACTCTTAACTATCCCTTTTGCCTTGAATAAAACAGAGCTAACTAAGGAGTGTTTCTCTTGTTATGGCTTCTCCATATTATCATTACCATGTTTCCTCACTTTTCAAGTCTAAGTTACCCCGTGTTTAACTCTATGTTCAATTAACATTTTGACCAAACTTACCACAGTAACAGGACATTTCAGTTAGCATAATACTCCCTTGATGGACAGACTAATTGACGTGGTATCTGAACCAATTAGAGAAACAGACCAATGAGTGTCCCTCCTCCAAATGACTTATTAAATTCCCAACCTGCCTACACTTAGAATGTTGGCAATAGTGACAAATTACATCCACACTGTTCCAGGATGTACCTAGCCTAACTGTAATTCAAATGACCTGTCCCATCCAATCAAAATAAGTTTCTCAAGATCTTGTAACTTCTTAGTTCCTCTTTGACTAGTATAAAATAAGCTCTGTAAAACCCTTGTTTGTGGGGCAGCTGATAGAGCACCGGCCCTGGAGTCAGGAGGACCCGAGTTCAAACCCAGCCTCAGACCAAACACTTGACACTTACTAGCTGTGTGACCCTGGGCAAGTCACTTAACACCAACTGCCTTTAAAAAAAAAACAAAACCAAACCCTTGCTTGTCTCCAACTCCTGAGGAATCAGATGACCTGATTTGTTGGCAACTGCTAGCCTTGCAAATAAATCACTGTGCTTGGGACTTTGAGCCTCAGTTTCTCTTTGCTTCAGATTACAGTTACACTAACTTCTGCAAAGAAGAGAGGAAGGTAATTTTTTTCATCTTTTCTCCAAGACCAACCTTAATCAAGGTTGCCATAAATAATGCAAGATAGCATTTACATTCATTTTTGCATGGTTCTTTCCATTCATATTTATTGTCACTGTGTATAATATTTTCCTGGTTTTGTTTATTTTATAATGAACTTTATTAAAAGGCAGCATGTGAAAAAGAGCAATGGCTCTGAAGTCTGGGGACCTGAGTTCAAACCTCATCTCTCACACATACTACCTATATCACCTTGAGTAAATCACTTAACCATACTGGCCTCATCTTCATAAAGGGAATAAGGAGACAGGATGGCCCTTCTAGCCTTATGAACTTATGCTAATTTTTTCCCTAGACATCTTTAAATTTTTCATTGTAACCAATTCTTATAGTGTGGCAATATTCCATTACATTCCTGTATACAATTTACAAAACTGCCTTCTAATCTTAATCATTTTTGATAGAAATCTTCCTAAAATGTATTATGTATTTCTCTGCCTTCTCAAAACAGTATATTGAAATTAATTTAACAACTACTTGATATTCAGGGTTGCTGTTTAATAGCATCAATCTGAAATATAAAAATGATGATCCCAAGGATTACTGATATACAAACTGCCTCCATACTACACATCCTTTTAACTGTTTTTTTCTTTTCCTTCTCTTACCCTCAGCTTCTTGATGTTATCAATGTGTCTCTGTCTCAAAATCCCATGTTATCCACTCCCCCAAAACCTCACCTCTTATTTGTTGTAGGCTGGAGAGCCAGATAACCAAATCTGTCAAAAATAATATATAAAACATTAAATAAATTCCGAAGGAAGATATGAGTAACTCTATACATGGCAAGGGCTTCCACCTTTGGGATACCAATTTTGACAGCTTAGTGGCCTTTTTCATTGTTACTTATATTTGAAAGGTAGTTGATGGTGTCAGAAAAATGACCTCCAAATGAGTGTGATTTTATCACATTGATGTATAAAGCTTTTCTTGAATGAAACTTCAAGCTTAGAATGCCTTTAAAGCAAGGGCTCTGTGAACACGGCAATTAAAAAATACCAAAAGGATATAATAAAGTTTACAATTCACATTTTAACCTTCTACTCTCTTTTTCATAACTAATCATACTTTGAACATAATTTCTAACAATACAAGCAAAGTTTTATTATTCAGAATTTTAAAAAAATCCTAACATAATATTTTACGCATTTACACTGTAAGTGTTTTTCTCAAGGTTCATATTGATTCATAGACAAATGTGCCTCTCTTGAAGAGTGTCTTTTGGGTATTAGAAAAACTAAACATCTTGAGTTTAAGAACCAACTATACATTAAGAAAAGTGGAAATATAACCAGGCTCCTAGTAAACCTGCACTTGGTGTTTAAGACCAGGACTTGTTAAGAAAAGTTTAATTCTTGATGAATAACTGACAATATTTTTGCCACATCATCTACAGCTTTACATTTTCAAGAAATTTCATTTTTCAAACTAAGAAAATTAAGACAAATATCAAATTTTATCAGAACTTCTTCCAAAATGCTAAAAATCAGGGCAAAATTGGCAACGTGAAATTATCAAAAAGTTTAAGAAATCAGATGGCAATCTACCGCAGAGGATATTCTCTTATGACAGAATGGAGGTAAACTAGACTAACTCCTATGCCTCAATCAGAATTATGTATAATCACTCATTTCACCTTATGGTACTATGCAGTCACAAGTTTAAGAGAAAAGGAGAAAAATGAGGCTTCCAACTACTGTCCAGAGCTCTATGATTAGAGTTGTGATCTGAAGCTTCTTTTTAATTATAAGATAGGTGCAGATGTTATTTAAATATACTTAAACCTTAAAGTCCTCACTATATACCTTAATAATCTTTTAGTGTTCAAATGCTGAATAGCTAAAACCAACGATATAAAAAAAGGCCTTACCTGTACAGATTACAAAAACCAATATATAAATGTTAGCTATTATGTTGTATATATTCACGCACATAAATGCATAATCATGTGCACATATGTACATTTTAAATTTTATTTTATTTTTTAATGGCTGAAAATCCACCTTGTCTTGTACCCACCCCCAAGTGGGGGGGGGGGGGAAGGCAAAACCATTGTAACAAATATGCATAATTAAAATAAAATCATGAATTCAATTCAATTGCAGTTCAAAGTGCAATTCAAAATATATGTCTCAATCTCTACCTTGAGTCCATCACTTCTGTCAGGATGTGGGTAGCATGCTTAATAAAGAATCCTTTGGAATTTGGAGACTGCTCTAAGTATTTCATTCTTAAGTCTCTCAAAATTGTTTATCTTTACAATATTGTTGCTGTATAAAATGCTTTTCTTGTTCTACTTAATTCCTTCTGCATCGGTTCATACAAGTCTTTCCAAGTTTCTCTGAAAACATTCCCTTCATTTTTTTTTTACAGTAGAGAAGTATTCTATCACATTTATATGCTATAATTTGCTCAACCATTCCCCAATTGGTGGACATACCCTTAGTTCTCAGGTCTTTGCCTCCATAAAAAGAACTATTATACTTTAATACACATGGATCTTTTTCCTCTTTGGGGTATAGACTTAGTAGTGATACACTAGGGTCAATCAGTATGTATAATTTAGTAACCTTGGGGATATAATTCAAAATTGCTTTCCAGATGGCCAGTCCAGTTCATAGTTCTACTATCATAGGATTAATGTCTTTTTTTCTCACCGCTCCTTTCAGAATTTGTCACTTTTTTTTTTTGTCAATTTTGCCAGTCTGACTGATGTGAGGTGAAAACTCAGAATTCCTTTAATTTGTATTTCTCTAACCATTAGAGATTTGGAGCTTTGTTTTTTTTTTAAACATGGCTACTGAGAACTTGGATTGCTTCCTCTTAAAAGTGCTTGCTTATATCCCTTGACTAAGGGATATAAGGAAATGGTTCTTATTATTATACATTTGAATCAATTCCTTATAAATCTTAGAAATAAGACTGTACCACAGCAACTTGTTACAAAGATTTTTCCAAGTTTTCTGTTTCTCTTCAAATTTCCTAAACTAGATTTGTTTGTGCAAAAACTTAACTTTATCTAATTAAAACTGTTCATTTTACCTTCTGTGATCTCTTTTGCTATCTGTTCATAAACTCTTTCTCTATTCAGAGATTTGAAAGATAATTTCTCCATCGTTCTGCTAATTTGTTTAAGATGTTATCCCCTTATGTCAGTTACATTTCTATTTGGAGCTTATCTTTTTATGAGCTGTTGGTCTGTCAGACTGCATTCCCATTTCCCCCTCCAGTTTTTGTAGAAATGCAAGATTTTATACAAACAAGAGTTGGGATCTTTGGATTTATCAAGCACTAGGCTACTGTGCTCATTTGCTTCTGTATATAATATACCAAATCTATTCCACTGATTGACCTCTTCAGTTCTTAACCAGTACCAAACTGTTTTAATGATTTCTGTTTTTTACATTAATTTGAGATCTGGTACTGCTAGGCCCCTTTCTTTCCCAAGTTTTTCCCATTAAATTCCCTTGAAGAATTTGCTGCTCTAAATGAATCATTTTTTTCTTTCTCCTAGCTCTACATTGGTATTTTGACAGAAATGGAACTAAGTAAATTTAGAAACATTGCATTGGCTCAATCTCTCCAGGAACAATTAATATTTCTCCAATTATCAGCTATCTTTATATGTGTAATGAATATTTTATAATTTTTTCTTATAATCTTTTTGAGTGTAGACTCCCAATTATTTACTTTCTATATTATTTTCAATTTAATTTTTCTCTTCCTAATGGATTTTGTTGGTAATATTTTTTAAAATGTTGATGATTTATATGGGCTTACTTTATGTCCTGCAACTTTGCTGAAGTTATTGTTTCAATTAATTTTTTACTTGACTCCATAAGATTCTCTAAGTACACCATTCATTTGCAAATGTGATAATCTTTGTTTCTTCTTTACAAATGCTTATTCCCTCAATTTCTCTTTCACATCTTATTGCTATAACTAGCATTTCTAGTACTGAATCAAATAATAACTGTGATTATTGACATTAGTGCTTTATCCCTGATGGTTTCTAGTTTATCACTATAACATAGAATGCAAGCTCATGGTTTTAGATAAATACCGCTTATAATTTTTAAGGAAAAGATCCATTTATTCCTATGCTTTCCAGCACTTTATTATCAACTCCTTAACTTCATCCTATTGTAGTTGAGGCTCTCGTGCTTATCCTCTCTTAGTTCAGATCTGATATTAAGACAAAATGAGACACTTGCAAGTCACTGAACATTTAACAGAAAGGGGTTTACTTTGCCCTAACACAGCAAGGATATAGTTGGCCTTCAGTTTCTCTGGACCACCACCCCTCCTTTACATATGGAAACATGCCTAGTCAGCAGGGTAGGGTGACTCCTGTGGGCTTCGAAAATCCATGTCTAGGTAGCTTACATTCTACACAGTGGGTACTTTTTAATGCCCTTAGATGACCAGAAAACTGTGTCAGAAGTGCCAGAGCCAATAATGTCCCAGAGTTAGCTTTGTTCTACTCCATGTTGCTAAGAGGTGAAGTGGATAGGGAGAAGGAAGTTACATCAGGGAAGCCAAGGTCAATTCAGTACTAGAGGTAGCTTTGTCTTCTTTTAGGTGAAGCCTCCGCACATTGTGGGTAGGAAGAAACAAGTTGGGTCAGGGAAACACTGGTACTATAACATATCCCAAACCTCTGTTAATGTCAAGAATACCTACCACACAATCCTTTTAGTCACCTTGGCTTACAACCTAGGCATCATTCTCAAATCCTTACTCTTTCACTCTTCCATATCCTATCATCCTAGTATCTCTTACAACCTTCCCTCCTCTGACTCTGCCACCATCTTGGTTTAAGCCCTTGTCACCTGATGCCTAGTCTTTTGCAATGGTCTGCTGGTAGGTTACTCTGCCTCGTGTCTCCCTACTCCAATCTATTTTTCACTTGACTGTCAAACTGATCTTCCTAAAATACAGGTCTGACTATATCACTTCTCTATTCAGCAAACTCTTGTGGCTCTCCAGGAGAGAGGATCAAATATAAAATCCTCTGTTTGGCTTTTAAAGCCCTTTATAACCTGGTCCCTACCTACCTTTCCAGTCACCTCATACCTCATTCCCTGCCCCCTTCATCTCCCAGTATACTCTATGATATAGTGACATTGGCCTCTTTGCTGTTCCTTGCACAAAATAATCCACCATCTAACTCCAAGCATTATCACTGGCTGTGCCCACGCCTGGAACTCACTCTATCCCTTCTCATCTCCATGCCCTACCTTCCTTGGTTTCCTTTAAGCCTCAGCTAAAGTTCTACTTCCTGCAAGAAGCCTTTCCTTCTTAAGTGTCTTCCCACTGAAACTGCCGCCAATTTATCCTATATATAAGCTTGTTTTTACATTATTTGTTTACATGTTGTCTCCCATTAGATTGTGAGCCTAGCATAGTATCTAGAACACAGCAGGTACTTAATAAACGCTAAGTGACTTGAACTGACTTGACTTAATCTAGAAAGTTTTGCCTTGGCAGGAAAAAGGGCTACATATCTTCATGTGAAACAGAGCAAAGGAAGGGATAGGGAAAATTACTGAGTGATGATGTCAGCTGAAGATGAATGGTAAGTGGATCAGAATGAGAGCTCTTAGCAAACCATCTATTTTTTTTTCTATGAAGTACGATGTAAAGTCCTCAAGTGAGAGAGTGAGGGGGAAGGTGTTATGACAAATGAGAATTCTGGGAAGTGCTTCTGTAATAAGCTAGCAGATTTCCAGGTTGTAGTGGAAATTTCCAGTTGAGACTATGTTACAAATACAGAGCACTCTTAGCCTGGATTGATGACTTTTTTCAAGCTCAATTCAGCAGTGTCTAAATCTACTGATCATATTGACTCTTGAGCCTTTGTCCCTTACCGCCACTTTCAAATTCTTCCTTTACCAAACTCACTCACAGCGACCTCTTCTCCTTTGAGGTCCCTGGAGAGATAAATGGTGAAAGAATTACAAGACCAAGTTTTGGTAAGGTATGATTGGCCAAAGGACAAAGAATGAAAGGGATTTGAGAGTAGAAGATGGTGTAAGGTTGAAGTGAGTCACCAAAAGGTTAACGCTGGAAGCGAGAACAAGATGAGACAGTGCATAGGGTGACAGTCAGGAAAACAATGGACAGGTAAAGGATTGGAGGTCATAGTGAAGAAGACAGTTAGTGGTCATAAAGCAAAAGAAAGACGGAATAAAAGGTTCTGATCAGATAAATGAATTTTGCACGAACATGGAAGTGGAACACTTGGGAAAGATGGCAAGGTCAAGATCATCTCTAAGGTAGAGTGAAGCATGAAAAGGGATTAATAAAAATGAATTAATTGCTCCCACACTTCCCCTGCTTGAATTCTCCAAGGATTAGGTTAGACATTCTACCACTCACTTGAGGAGGCCCATAAGGAAAAAGCATTCTTAAAATATAAGGAAAAAGAAAAACTTTATTTCTTCATTTTAGGCTCATAGTTGCAAGAATATGAAATTCAGTAGTGATGCAGAGGATATTCCCCTAAGCAGGTTATGACCTGTTAATTTTGGAATACACCCATCAATCCGGAGCTAACTGGTAGCTAACACTGAAGTTGATGGCTGCCCTTTGAATTTTATTTTCTGATACAGCTGTGACAAAAAAAAAGGTCAGGGTTCAAGGATGGGGGCAATGGAAGCTTCCATCCTCTGAAATGGCTGCCAATCAGTGGGCTTTGAGCCTTCCTGGCAGGTTTAAACATTACTGCAAGGGGCCTACGATTCCATGTGCATACTAACCATTGGCGTTTTGCTATTTCAATAACAAAACATGCAGTGTGACTCAATATAAATAGTCACACCGCCTATATACTGAATATTTGTCTTACTTACATATGCTATTACTATTTTTGAAATATGCTGCCAGTAATAAAATGCAAATTCAAAATCATAATAGATAATACCTCTGAAAAACATTTTCTGGTATCATGGATATAAAGCTAAATACTAATGACATGAACTTAAGACAATCTCATAAAAAGTTACATATGCTATAATTGCACACATATGTGTGTATATATATATATTTTCTGATACAAAATGTGGTTTGTTTTTTTGGCCAGAAACAGGTAAAAATGGCATCAGTGAAACAATGAATAAATTATAAAAATACATTTTACACTTGGCATATATACACTTATTGTTATTTATATGTCTGTTTTATGTAGCACTAGTAGATTCCAATTACTTAAGGATGGGGATTACATCTTAACATATATTTATATCCCCCCTAAAACCTAGCACAGTACATTGCAGACCACTAGATTTTACATGTGCATGTACAGAAGTGAGAAGAGCTTTTCTGAGATTAAAGTCAAATGCTTTTTAAATAAATGTTTGTTATATTAATGACAGTTTTAAAAGCTCTATATTTACAGAAAATATGTTACACATTTGTACAATGTATATATTCATTTCCACACAGTCTCCTCAAGCCACTCACTGTCTGACCTTTCTCCTCTGTACTTAGCCTTTTCCTAACTTATACAGCACGTCCCTTCTCTGTTTTCACCATTTTAACTCTGCTTAGCCATAAACTTCTTAGGGCAGGGATGGTCATTTTTCATCTTTGAATCCTCAGTGCCTAGCACTATGCCTTAAATAGAAGAGGCACTTAATCAATATTTATTGAATATGTAGTACAAAATGCTCAAAGGTGAGAAACTTTTTACCATTCAAATGCAGAAAACCCATTTTAGGTTAGTGGAGAAAGGCTGGCACATAATGCTACAGCATTACCAGTAAATAGTTCTCTGAATTCTATGCCCAACTTCACCTCTGTGTTAGCTGCTTGATCATCTGTTAACGAGTTTTCACTGACAGACATCAGAGCTGTGAGGGGGAAAAAGTCAACATGTTTTGGAGATTTCAGGATAACATATGCATAGATTTAGTGAGTGATAGAAGAGGCTTGATAGGTCATTAAATCCATCTGTACTCAGTACTCACTAATACACTGAGTAGTACATTATCCTCAGTAGGTGTGGACTGACTGAAAATGACAAGAAGAAAATAAAGGAAATCTCCCTTGGAGCTCTGGTAGAGCAGGGGCCTATTTTTCTCTAAGTTAACTCTAGCTGCACTTCAACACCTTACTCTGTGTAACCTCAGGTTTCAGTATTCTCATCAGTAAACACAACAGATTAGACAGCTGCCTCTGAGGTCCTTTCCAGTTCTAAATCTATGATCCTAGGTGAAGTATACCTCCAAATTCATAACTATGATATGATAAAGGCATTTCACTTTCATACCGTGTTTGAAGTCCTTCTACCAAAACAAAAACATAATTCTTGCTGTATAATTATAATAACCTCAAAGAGGAGATAAAAATCTGCAGTTTACTCCTTTCTTTGCAGTGACTGGGGAATATATGGGAGCATGGATTATATTACGCCTGTTAAAAAGACTCTGGTCATACATTGGTTGATCTTGCTGAACTGCTTTTTTCCTTCTTTTAGATTCACTGTTGGACTGCACAGGTAAAGGGGAACAAGCTGTTGTCCCCCCACCCCACCTCCAAAAAGAAGCTTCACTGAAATATTTTTTTAAAATGCACAGAAGAGAATAAAAGGAATAGTAGGACAGGACAGCTTTGAAAGATATACTGAATTGATTGTATACTTTAAAAGAAAAGTAAGCTATCACATAAGAGAGATTCAGTTTCACGTATAAACCTCTCTTCTACAATATATGTGGAAGTGCTCATTTTAGCTAATGTTTATTAAGTTGAGAATAAAAAAATTTACATAAAAAGGGGGAAATGGCATTAAATATGAACTAAATTATGAAATGGCAAAATGTGAACAAAAATATGAAAAGAATAAGAAACAAAATATGAAAATTTAATTCTAGGGGAATAGAAATGAAAGATATTATAAAATTAAGACATTCTGTTGAATATATATATATTTTGATTCCTATATATTTTCTAGGTCTAGCACACAATATAAGCCTGCAAAAACATAAAACACAAAAATAAAAAAAAGTAACAGCATTAGAATCTTTATGAAGAAAAAATAATAAGATATGAATGTTACTAACATTTTCAATACAGATAAAGTACAAAATAAAAAGTCTCAAACTTTATTATTACAAAAAGAATGTTCTTTCATTGCAATAAGAAAAGTTAAACTTTATGTCACCTATGAAAAAGATTAGTAACATGTAACATATTCAGTGTAATTGTGCCTCATTATAATCTGGCTGAGTATCTATGAGACAAGGTACATACGGGACTTTCATAACTAAATCCCTATGTCAAATAGCTCCATGAGTGAAATTCCAATATTTAAAGTCAATATAACACTTTCTCTCAGTAATTTAAAAATAATTCTAATAAACTAGTTTAATCACCTGGTTAACCTGCAACATCTCTGTGAAACAGGAAGCAGATAACATCAAAACGAAAAGGCTAGTAACTTGCCCAAGGTCATTAAGAAAATCAGAGGCAATATTTGAAAATTAATTCTGGTACTATGGTGCTGTTTTAGGTTCATATTAGGGCATACATGTTACTTTTGTAACATTCTTATAAAAGTGAATAGATATTTGAGTGTCCCTGAACAAGATGGAATGTAAATATGTTATAAGCAGCAGCATGTACCATACATATAATAATAACATAAAAATGAAAATCAAATAAAATGCTTACTTGTGGGAAGTCCTCTTCTTCATCATGCTGGCAGATACACCTGCATGTCCTGAAAAGACACATAAAAAGGAAATGAGAAATGACTAAATCGCATGAGTAGCTAAAACTAATTCACAAGTTAAACTACAAACAAAAGCACAACATTTAATTCTCCAAAAGTTGATAAAGATGGCTTGTTAAAACTTATTAGCTAAATTTAATATGGAATATATTTATTTTCTCATTTCTTAAAAGTAATAATGATACCTATAAATAATTTTAAATCTTTAACAATGGCCATCTGTATCTACACTAAAGATGATACTTGTTTCTTTTCTAAAACTGAGAAAGAGAAGTGGTAAATAAGAAAAAAAAAATCAACCATAAGTAAAAGGGAGAAGTTAAAAGCTATATATTAACCTGGAACTTTAGAAAAGTATATTCTGATACAGAGGATATCTTAAAAGTAAAGTTCTACTGGCAAAAAATATGGTATAACTAGGAATTGTAAAGAGGTAGTGAAAAAATAAGCCCATTAACTATGTTGTTAAATGGAATCAGATATAGATTACAACTGTTTAAAAGTACATAGTTCATATGTGAAGGCTACACCATAAAACGCTTGAGAAACTGAAGCAGGAGTAAAAGATGAAAAGAGCTGGTCACATGGCAAGAGCAAGGGATGACACCTAGACTGCTTACTGGTGCCCTCCAAATGTCAGAAGGAAGAAGGAAAGGAAATAAACATTTATATAGTGTCTACTATGTGCCAGGAATTGTGAATGTTCTTCAGTGCTTACCTTGTTCATTTCTATCACTGTTCCTTGGCTTTTATCATTCCCCCCTTAATCACTCTAGACCATAATCATGTTTCCTTACTCTGAACCTCTATCATGGATTTTGCTTTTATAATCATTTGACACTTTTCATGTACAATGTTGTTGGCCTAAGCCAATCAAGACTTTTGTCAAATGGTAACTTTGTATTTACTTGGTCCAGGGTAGTAGAGAGTCATTTATAATGCAAGAAGGGCTTGTTACTAGGTGACAACTGCTTGCTACTTAACAGTGTTGATTCAATTTATGAGAAAACCTGGGTTACCTGAAAGGTTTTCTATTCTTCGAAGACAATTTTTTGCAGATGGCTGAATTATAAAACTTTTAAGTTATAAACACATTTTAATTATTATGGGTAAATACCTTTCAAAAATTAAAAAGTCTGTTTCCTTAAACAGTAAACCAAACACAATTTTTTTCCTTTATAAAAAGTTTTTTAAAATTTAAAACAATTTTTATTAAAGGATGCATTTCCAGGGGTAATTTTAAGGCTTCACATTAGTGTACAAGCTTGTTTTTCTCCCACAGTAAATATCCCAAACTGCTGTATTATTTAACTTTCTGTGTCTGCTTTTTATAGTTTTCTTGTTTTTGTCTTTGCCGCTACTTTCCCTATCACCAATGTGCTTGCCTTCTCTTCTATTTACCACTTCAAGTGTGCATCATGCGTGGTACAAGTAAATGGACTACTGAAGAAAGGGAAGGTATCAATTAACAGATACACATTTCTCCTCAAATACTTTTCTTTAAATCCCTAGTTAAAGCAATTACAAGTTTTATAAGAAAAAATCTGCAAAATGCACTCTCCAAGTAACAAAGTATATTTCCTATCTCAATACATATACTCACTGAATTATACAGACAGTTTGCTTCAGTTTTTTTTTTTTAAATAGTATTGTGTTTTCTAGTAAGGATGCAAAATTAATCTGGAAAAAAAGCCAAAATCACTATTGTAAAATTTACAGCAAACATTATATCAGTAACTGAGGCTTATCTTGTCCCAATCCACTGATAAAGACACTATGGAGATAAAGAAGCAATATATAAAATGCTGTTCTTGAAATCACAAGCTGGATTCCAATACTGCAATCTCCATGTAAGTCATTTCACCTCAATGCACCTAATATAGACAGGAAATGTCAGAATAAGTGGAAGAAATTAACAAAATGGAGTTCCTTAATCAAAGAAACTGCATGTTCATGTATGTATAAGATATTATCCCTACACTCAAGGAGTTTCCACTCTACAAGAAAATAAAGAAGATACAGAACATCAAAGGAGCAAAGAAAAGAATGAATACTGTCCCAATAGAGGCTACTCAGTGAACTGACTTAGAACACCACCCTGGTCACTTGTGAACAATGAGACCTAGACCAAACTACTTTATGTTATCTGTAATTCAATTGTCTCATCTGTAAAGTGAGGAGGTAGCAGAACTAGAAAATTACTTAGCTTCTTTCCAGGTCTAGATCCTATCTTTCCAGGTCTAGATCCTATCTTTCCAGGTCTAGATCCTATATCTCAGACAATGATTTTTCCTCCTAAAAAAAGTGAAAAGAAGTTCATTTACACTAAAGCAGCATATGATAAAGCAGTAAGTTGAAGAATAAGAAAAAAAAATACCTCCTTTTCCTATTTGACCTTGAAATGATTTTGTGTACACACATACACACCTGAGGGTGAGGAATTCTTTTCAAAGAAAAAGGACACATGCACACAGATACATGATCTAGACTTGGAATTCTGACTCTGCCACTTATCACTACTCTATAACCTCGGACAAGTCATTTAACCTCTTTGTAATAAATAAGGGACCTTTTAAATTTCTTTCCATCGCTTAAGTCTGAGGTTATAAGGCTTTCTAATTTTCCTATCTTTAAAATCCTCCCCTGCAATAATACCGCATGCTAGAATGTACTACTGTAGGATATACATGCCTTTGACCTGTGTCAGGCTTCCACAGGAAAATGAAATATATTGAGTTTCAGCATTCACAAGCTCCCCTCTAAAAGTCAGACCTAAAACTAAGCTTACTAGACCAGTGTTTTTCAAACATTTTTCTAGTTATGTCATAGTATTATTTTATTCCTTTCTTCTAAAAAAAATCCATTTCCTTATTATTGAGAGTAAGCTGACCTTTTAAAGAATAAAACTCTGGATTAAACATCTATCCTATCAGAAAGAAAGGGGGAAAAGGTTTTGGTACTTCACCAGCCTCAGGAATTTCCAACATTAACAAAGTTTATCACTCAATGAACAGATTCATGTTTGGAAAAAAGGATGCCTATCTTGTCACAGTAGACACTCAACTGTCATGCATATGTGACCCACAGAACAAGATTAAAATGTAATTAGGAAATATTTAGCAAAACAAAAAATAAAACATAATGTTAACATGTGGTTTTCTAAGTCAATGAGGCCCACAAGGATCCTTATGTGTAAGTTTGACATCACTGTCCAGAGGATATCTGAATTTATCTAAGAATTATTTCTTTACACCACTATTCTTCGCATAATGAATTCTCAGAGTCTCAGTGATGTTCAAGTGATTGCAAGTATAAGTTCCATACAAGTGGAACTTTGTAGCACACCAAATTGAAACTGGGTACACGTTTTGAGAACCACCGAGTTATCTCCAGGTCACAGGATAATCCTCCCTGGAATTAAGAACTGATGGTCCTATATAAACAAGTACAGTTTTAAGCTTCTCAAAGGGCAGAAACTATGCCTTTTACTTCTCCCATACAGCTACAGATCTTTGTAAACCACAATCTCTCCCTAACTCATCTTCCTCATCTCTAAAAGCAGAGGGTTGGATTACTTCATCCCTAGAGTCCCTTCCTAGTCTACCAATTTATGAGGATTCTATAACACAATGTCACTGCCAAATAGCTAGATGAAGTAAATAAAAGAAGGAGGACTAACAGCACATAGGGTAGAAAACAAGTAGTTGTGATGCAAAAGGCTACTTTCTATTGTATTAATAGATAGGGAGTTGAAGGGGCCTTGAAAGTTGAAAAGGATCATTTGTTCTAGCCTCCTCATTTTATACTTTGCTTTGAGGCTGCCTAGAACACAGAAAAATATAGTAAAAATTGCATTTATAAAAATTTTTAAGTGCTATCTTGCAAAAACCCCGAGAAGGAGGGAATAAGCATTTACTAAGTGTCTACTATGTGCCAAGGAGCTACACTAAACATTTTACAAATATTTCATTTAGTCTTTCTATCAACCCTGGGAGTTAAGTTCTATTTTTTAATTCCCATTTTATAATTCAGGAAAATGAGGTGGAGAGATCAAATGACTTTCCCAGGGTCACACAGCTAATAAAGTTATGTGAGACCAGATTTGATCCAGCACCTACTGTGCCACCCAGCTAACTCCTCCGTGAGAAACACTGCACAAAGATGGTTATCTTCCATTTTAAAGGTGAAGGAAATGAAGCTCAGCGAGATAAGTGATTTGTTCAGAATTGTTTTGTGTGAGTGTGTGTGTGTGTGTGTTGAAGTGAGGAATCAATCCCAGCTTTTCTGACTCTTGGCACTTCACCACACTGCCTCTACAATAAATCACAGTTTATGTTTACACACATGTCCACAGTTTCATATCTGAGCAGTAAGCAAAACTAACAAACTATGAAAAAATTTACTGGTTTTATCTAAAATAAAAAAGGCACATCCACAAATATTACAGGTGGGTTAAACATTGGATTTTAGCTAGATAATTTCCTGATTTCTATATTTCACTTTATTCCTTACACTTATAATAGCTGATATCATCATTGTATTCATAATATTCCAAACTGCCTTTTTGTTTTTAAAAAAAGTCATCAAGGGGCAGCTAGGTGGCACAGTAGATACAGCACTGGCCCTGTGTAGAGGACCTGAGTTCAAATCCTGCCTCAGACACTTGACACTAGTTGTGTGACCCTAAGCAAGTCACTTAACCCCAACTGCCCGCCCCACACACAAAAAGTCATCAAGTCATTTCATCAACTAACATTAAGAATCAACTGTATGTACAGTATACGCTTACCAATCTGGTCTAGTCTTTGTAAAATCTCACTGCTGTCATAATATCAAATACTGCTATAATCTCACCTCTGAATCTTCAGCATGATTCAGATAGTGTTTTGCTTTTTAAACCTTTAAATTACTCCAATATCCATTAGTATGAGTTATTTCTTTGACAAACACAGGATCACTCCACAGCATGAGTGTGATGAGCTATGGTG